ATTTAGAGACTATTCAAAGAGTTTATATAAGAATGTCCTTGAATTTGGTTTGACTAAACAGCCAGTATTTGCTTCATTCAAGTCATCTTGTTCTAGGTGTGGTACAAATACTTTATGGAAAAGGTGGATCCTTAGAAACAACTCTCTCCTCTGCCTCTCATCTGTAATATAAATCATGCTGTTTTTTTGCTGAAGTGTTTTCAGATGCTCTCCTTACTTGCTTTTAAGTACTGAATACAGAATAACCTATTTAGCATGCTGAGACTTTCTGAAAATCTACCTGGAATTATAAGAGGTAGGAAGTAGAATCACACAACAGTTTGGGTTAGAAGGGACCTGCAAGATCATCTCATTCTACCCCGCTGCCATGGATGGGGACACCTTCCACTAGCCCAGGTTCCTCTAAGCCCTGTCCAACCTGGCCTTGGACACTTCCAGGGCTGGGGCAGCCACAGCTTCTCTGGGCAACCTGTGCCAGACCACCACAATCACAGGGAAGAACTTCTTCCTAATATCCAATCTAACCTTGCCCTATGTCAGTGTGAAACCATTCCCCTTGTCCTGTCACTCTAGGTCCTTGTCCAAAGTCATTCTCCAGCTCTCTTGGAGCCCCTTTAGGCACTGGAAGGGCCTCTAAGTTTTCCCCCCCTAAGGTCTTCTTTTGTCTTCTCTGGGCTGAACAACTCCAACTCTCCCACAAAGGATAACTGCCTCCAGTCAATCCTGTTCGTAATTTTTCCTGTATTAGAGTATTTTTTAACTTCAAACCAGGCTGTAAATCTGAAGTTACTCGATTAACCAGAAATGCTGTTTTCTTTCTATTATCAGAATTGCCAAAAGTAAAAAGCTGAATTATTTTGTGTGGCTTTTGAATAATGAATAGTCTAGAGACCCTAAATTGGTTATGTTTTTCCTCATTTCCTTATTAAAAAAAAAGAACCAAGCAAAAACCCCAAAAGAAATAAAAGAACTAAACCAAAATCAATGAACCAATCAAACCCTCCCCCTCACCCCCCTCAAATCCCTTAAACTAAGAACAAAGTCCCAGTTACACAGTTGGAAGGCATTTTGCTGTCAAGTGCCATAGGTTTATCCAATGAGTGGGGAATCTCTGAGGATCAGAGTCTTCTCGATGATACTGCCCTGTTGCTGCTTTGAGGACCAGGTAATAAAAATAGCACCAATTAGCAGGATACTGGAACCAAAATTGTCAGAGGCAGTCAGAAGGTACTTGCTATTGTTTAGATACATTAAGAACATGCTGGTGACTCACAGGTGGCTTCTCAGCAAGGCAGTGTCCCATAGGTTCCTCTTCAGTTGCTGTTGTTGCAACCTCATCAACGCTGGAGAAAGATTATGTTATTACAAGCTGATGAAAGCTGAATCTCACTCATCCAGAAAAATAGCTTCCCATTTATGGGGCAAGCTTCACTCTACAACCTTTTGCAATTTTTTTTTTTTTTGGGGGGGGGGGAGGGGGTTAGGGGTTTTTTTTGACCTAGGAGGAATGCTAATTCCCTCAATAATTGTGCTGGATCTTTTGTTCTTCCTCTTCCAGCAGGATCACCGTATCAAAGCTTATTTGACATTAAGAAGAAAAGCTACTCCTAAGAGTGCCCAGCACTTGAAAATGAAGCAAGGCAAGGCCTAGAAAGCAAATGTAATATAGCAATACGAAAATTAGAGAGTTAATTTAGAAAGCAAACCCTAAGCAAAAGCACAGAGAACTTGGTCTTAGAAACAGCAGAGGCAATAATTCATTAAGGTATGCAGAACACACTGACACGAAAGAACAGAAGCATAAGTACACAGGAAAACAGAGAGAACTAAAAATGCAAAGACACATAATATTAGACGTATGGAGGAAAAACAAAAGGAGATAAGGGAAAGAGAATGAGCTGAGACCCAGGTACCCTTGCCAGATATCAGGAACCTCTGCCAGATGCACTAGGAAATCAGCCAGATTAGAGAAGTTCACAAAGTTTATGATGATGATGGAAGAAAGGACAGGAGTTCATGAGGCCGAAGAACAGGAACGACCCCTCAGATTCTCCCCAAACTAAAGACCACGCCCCTAACTCCGCCCAAACTCTACCTGTTATGAATATTAAAAATGTATGTTGCAATTTATGAATATTCATATTGTATGGTGCAATTGCTTGGCAAAAATTGTATAAAAGCCCAGCTGTGAATTGCTGGAATGAAGCAGTTTGTCCAGGGCGATCTGGCTTCCCAGCATCGAAAATAAACATACCTCCTGCTTAAAGGCTAAAAACTTCGTCTCTGAGCAGTTTCTCCGTCCGTGCCTTTTGGGGCATAAAATTGGCATCAAAAAATAGGACTTTTAAGAGTTTCAGGAAAACACTATTGTTCATATGGATATATGAAGCGCCTGTACAACTAAAGTATTCATCAGGTTCTAGAAATCTATCTACATTCTCTCTGTGATCCCTACATATTCCGGTTGACTCAAAGACTATTCCTGTGGTCTAAGCATCCGTGCGGGTCAAAGCTATGTGTAGTCAACCAGATTTCAAGTATGAATTTCATTTCCATCTGCTTGTGCTACTGCTTCTCTTCTGCTGGCAGGAATTCTAATGCTTTAATATACACCTTGATCATCTACTCTGCTTTGAGAAACTGAGTTGTGTAACTGCAGTGGTCACTGCTTGGATGGCAGCACTTCTCATAGGAAGTGTTTTACTGGATCTCAGAAAAATTGTATTTTTCATCAGAGTTATTGTAGATTTGATGGTATAAGCCAATAATATTAAAAAAATCCCTACCAAACAGAAACAAAGGGTATATTGCTTCCTTCTGTGTTCCTGTAAGAAGCATAGAGTGTGTTATTAAAACTTCACTCTCTAGTGAATTATAACTTTTGTAGATGGAAAAAGCATAGAAAAATATTTACAAAAGTTCAAAAGAATGATCATCAACCTCATGCCCTGTAAAACACTTAGTTTTAACATTAGGAGAAAGTGAAAGTGTAAGGGAAAAATAATATCTCTATTTAACATTAAACTTGCAAAAATGTAGAAAATAACCAACACTGTATGCATGATCAAAATATTATTTAAAAACAAGAACAGACTTCTGTGGTGTCTATACATTTTGTTTTCTGCAGTAGAATATTTGGCTTTTTACATTTAAATCCTCTGTTTCTTTTGGGCTAAAAAGAAGTGATGTTTGTCAAGACTCCAGAACAATGGAGTTTCCCAATTTGTGTGTAGGTTTCCCTCTGCACTGGCTGGTTTTACTTGCAACATTTTCTGTCCAAATAGGAAATTTTACTTTTTTAGAAAACAAAATTTTAGTAGAGTTTTTCTTAAGGGGTACTCGCAATGTGTCCACGTTGGAGGGAAGTAAGTAATTTCATGTAACAATTGACTGGCTTTATTTTTGGAGGAGGTAAATCTGGAGACACAACTTGCACTCCGAATAAATCTTCATCTGCTATTATCAGGGACAAGTATGAGTAGGAAGGTGAGGGGATGTGGCTTTAGGGGATGGTCTTGGGAAGCCAAGGGCAAGTGGGAAGCAGTTACTCCTGGTCTTCACGCTTCATGCCAAGTTCCGAGCTCTGCTGAATTTTTGCTCTTCAAACATAAGGCACTGACTCCGAGTAAGTGGGAGTTAGTGGGGCCACAGGGACTGCCAGCAACATCCCACCTTCATTGATCTCCTGCTGAGTTGGGAGGGGAGCAAGGTGACAGGGCTGCCAATTTGCTGGACTGAGTGTAAAGTACTAATGAGCAAGTTAAACTTTGCAATCTGGAGACTAAACTGCTAAAAAATGAAATTTGGAGTAAAGCTTTGCAAGATCCTATTCACGGCTAGCTTGGTCATCTCCTTTGGTACCAGTACAGTGCATTACCTTCAACAGGTATCCTACCTGTTTGCCTACTTTTTAAGCTGTTACTACACTCCAGTCTCAGCTTTTTATGAACTAACAAAGTAGGATTCCCATCCCATTTGGTCACCCAAACCACCTGTACCTGTGCCAGCTGAACATTCACTTTTCTGAATGAGAGAAGTTAAAATTGTATATACACAAAACTTCAAATGCATTTCACAAAAGTGTTGTATGAAGATGTAAATGCTGTCTTCCCTGTGGACACAGTGCTCCTACTATATTAATTTCTGAGGTTTAGCTTTTTTCTTTTTTTTTTCATTTTCTTTTAACAGCCCCTGCTTACATGATCTGAATCTTAAACACTAGAGTAGGTAATTTTTCCTTTTGTACATTTCTTATAGATAACCATCTATATTTTGAATGTTGAATGAGTGTTCATGAGGATAATAACTACTATTTTGTACTATCCTGGTCTACTTTTCATTTACTGATCCTGATGAAAAGCAAACTGACACTGTTCCATTTGTAATGTTAGAAAATGCAACTAATGGGTTAATATTTCAACCTTTCTCTTTATTACAGTAAACAATACAGAATTTTGCCACATTAATGAGAATAACCTTTTCCACTGTAATTTAATGAATTTTAATTTATATCTAAGCCTTGCAACTTTCCTGTGAATGATAGCTTCTAGTGGTTTATCAGTTGTGTGATGAAAAAGCATGTACTAGTTGTGTTCCGAATGCCAGTCAAATACAGTACATGGGAAGTATCTCATGTTCCTCTGGTGTCCAGTTGCAGTTGAAATTTGACTGAGAGAAAACAGAGTTATTTTGAGAGAATAGAGAATGTCTCTATATGTGCATCAGAGCATTCCTAGGAGTTTTGGCACTGGAAACAAAAATACCTCTTTTGAAATATCTTTTTGCTAGGCATGTAAACTTCTGTCTGTTACATTAGGTTCTTGTATTTAGTAAGGCATCACAGATGTTTTCTACTTTTTGTGGTTTAAGAATGGTATTCCCCAAGTTAGTGTTCCCACCAAAACACTCCAAACTATGTACCACTCGCTCATTTCCCCTCCTCCCTGTGGGTGGCTGGAGAGGAAAACTGGAGGCACAAAAGGTAAACATCACAGGCTGATGTAAGAACAATTTACTGGAAACAGCAATGAAATAAGACAATGAACACAACAATAGTAACAGCAACAATGCTAATAAAAGAGTGTACAAGAAATGAATGATTTACATGAGTTCTCGCTCCCAACAATACCCAACTGCTCCCTCTGCCCACACCACTGACCCAGAAGAGAGCCCTTCCCCATCCCTGGAAAATGACATGAGGTGGTAGAGCATAACATCAGGGTCCTAGCCATGCCTCCTCCTGGCTACTGAAAAAATTAACCCTGTCCTGGCCAGAACCAGGACCCTACTTCATAATAATATTCTTTATGTCTTAGCTTCCTCTCCTTAACAGTTTTTATAATCTATGCAAATAGCAGGCAGGTAACCTTCTTTGAGTGGTGCACTTGTTTCAAATAAAGCAAGACTAAAATTTGAGTTAAATACAAAAACTTCTAGTATGAGCTTCTTTCCTGTACCCTGTACTTTATGCATTTCTTTATATACAACTGGTGCTACATGATTAGAGGGCAAGTTTTGTAAAGTCTGTGTGTATATATTTGGAGTGGTTTTTTCCCTCCCCTTTCCCAAAAGCAGAAAGAAAGCCATGAAAACAAACATCTTTTTGCACCATAACAAAGCTGCCTTTCTCAACAGACAAGAAGAATATACCATGAGTACTTAATGTGTTAGTGTACAAGTGTATAAAGGATGTGTTTGCCAGTGATGATGTATATGGATCTGGCACATACTAATCTCAGTCAGTCAGAAAACTAGCACCACATCTAAAATGTGGAACAAAAGTTTAGTAGTAAACTTGAATTGTAGCTTTGCAAAGCAACTGTACCTCATAAAGCCCAGGGAAACAATAGACAGTAACTTGGTCCGTGTGCTTATGAGGTATTTTCAGACATTCCGGGGAATCATATTTTCTCCTTGGGTAATGGATTGCCATCCATAGTGGGTGCCATTCAGTTCTTTGAAATGCCTGCCCTTGGATGGACACCTGGTATATTAAGAGTCACAGAATGCCAGTAACAGGCAGAATAAAAGCATTTTAATATTTTGCAACAATCTGTGCTAGAAATTTATTTTCTACTGCCAAGCAGAAAGAACAGAAACATACTGACTAATTTTTACCAGAACAATAATCAGACATCCACCAGTAAACATGAGTGTAGGCCAGAGGAAAGCAAAGAGGAGGCCTTTGGGGGGATAAAGCCTGCTTAAAATAACATTGGTCTGTGTTCCTCCTGGATCATAGTAACACGGGAAAGTGTGGTATTTTTTGAAATTGCTTGCAATTGTTTCTATTCGTGCTTTAACTTCTTTGGAGTTCTCCGACTTGTCTGGGACGTACGAGCACTGGAATAAGAAATTAAGGTGATTCATTATAATGGATACTCTAAGACAAAGTCTGTAGTTAAATCAGTTCAAGGAAAAAAGTCAAGCTAGTACTGACAAAATCTTCTGTGGTTTAGCATCCTTGAAGATTGTCTTGATTATGTCCATAACCCATTTGCCATGTTTCCCTGTTTCCATCAGTGTGTCTATGCCCCCAATCTGCAGATTTACAGATTGGAGTTATGTTGTTGGAAACCAATAACATGAGTGCTCAAAAAACCCCTTGAGTCTTTCAGAATGTCGCTTCATTATTACAGTGCCAAACTCCAATTCCTAACAGAGCTTCTAGGCACTGGCCACAGCAGGAAAGTGTTCATCATCATCATCATCATGGCCAGTCTTCGCGAACGAAGATTTGGGAAAGGTCATTACCCTTCGAGCCTGCGCAGTGGATTTTTTAGGTGAGACACAGTGTGCGCTGAACTGAGCCCACCCTTTAATCCTGAGGTTCATCTGCCGGAGCCAAGTGAGCTCGGACGGTGGCAGCAAGGTCCTCAGGATGTAGGTTTGTTTAGAGATGGATGGCCTTACAGGGCTGATGAGCTCAGGAAAGTGTTAATTGTGCAGAAATTCACACTGGCTTGTTTCACTGTGTGCCTTTGGTTGTAACTAGTAGAAAAATACAGCAAGCATGGCTTTTAGAGGCTTCCTACTTGTTCTTGTAACGCAGAATGCAGTTATTTAGTCTTCAGTGGAAATACTATTAGACTCTGAAGCACACTTTTTTTTTTTTGTTATTCATAACCTTTTTTCTCTGCAATATTATTTTTGATATCTAATAATGATTAGGTGTATTAAACTGGAAACTGGCCAAGGCAGAAAGGAGGATGGTTCCTGACCTGAAAACTTGCAGTAATGCAACTAGGTAGGAAATCAATAAATCACCTCGTCTTGCAGTGAACAACACTTGTTTCCATCTACACTGGATAATTTCTGCTTTGCTGCTTTATTGCATGTAACTTTCCCTGAGATAGTCGCTATAAAGATAGGCATTAGAAAAATTCTCTTCAGCTTAAGTGTTTTATGCTATTAGGTTTGCGTCGTGTGAAACTCTAACTCTTTGCACTTGAAGTCTGAGCATGTTTATTCTGGATTCTGAAAGTACTTCAATCTTGGACATTCAAGATCTGAATTTCAATTTTCCCCCTTAAGACAGTTGCTGATCTGGAATAAGGCCTCTGAAATACTCATGGGTTTGGAACTGAACTAAACCTGACCTTTCTTGGAACTGGGTACCTGTAGGAGCACTTTTTGTTCTGGGGGAGCAAGCCCAAAAATATTGAACACTCTGCTGATTCCCAAGCAGAAACCCTGGCAGGAACAAAAGGATAACACCCCTCACTTTCCCCCTCCATAATCTTTCACAGACCTCTAAAACCAAATGAATATTGTGCACCCACATTTCTATCCCACCCATGCACTTGTCCTCTGGGGAAGAGATCCCTAAAATTACTGACCAAGGGATCTCTACCACAATACCCAGCATCTCTGCCTTACACAGGTGCTACCTACAGTGCCACTGCCCTCTCCATGAGTCCAGGAAACTGCTGCAGACCAAACCAAAAACAAATGAGTTTTGTGTGTGATCATCTTCCAAAATCACTTATTTGTTTCTTCTTTCTGTCTAAAATGTGCATCATGTTGCTGTTTCCTCTACTTTCTTTATTCCCTGCTTCATATCATACACGTAAAATGCAAGTAAAATTGGGATTTGTGATCTTATTTTGGATGGTTCTGAAATTCAGGTCTCTTGTGATAATTTAACATGGAACTGGGCAAACCACAGCTTATAAATTAATTGTTCCTATTGGTCTTCAACTTGGAGACAAATATTTTAAAGTGTTCACAAATATTATATATTCATGTTGGTAATTCCTTAACAAGCATTGACTTAATGTTTGATGTAATGCTTAAAATAAAATCCAAACTATGTCATTTCTGGAATGTTTTAAAAATGACATTACAGATTGGAGTTATGTTGTTGGAAACCAATAACATGGGTGCTCAAAAAAACCCTTGAGTCTTTGAGAATGTCACTTCATTATTCCAGTGTCCAACCCCAATTCCTAACAGAGCTTCTAGGCACTGCCACAGCAATAGTCTAAGACCAGACATTAATATGTAAAAGACAAGCAACTCCTGCTCTTACTGTGCTGCTTTGTTTAAAAACCATCACCTTAGGATTTCTTTCCAGTGTATCTTCAGTCTGGTACAGCATAACCTCCTGTCCCGAGGCTGTCAGATTAACCCACACCTGTAGACAGGGATAAGAAAAGATGTCTTCATCCTCTGAGCCTTCGCTGTCTGGGCAGAGAACTTTGTCCTCGATGTTGGCTTTGAGTACCTTGCACACGGTTTCTGTTGTCCAAACGCTACAAAACCAAAACAAAAGATATTGCTTTTAAGCTCATTAGAAGCATCTGTTGAAAGTTGCATGTGGAGATGCATCTGTGTGTGGTGGCATGGCTGGAGTTCATGACCGCTGCATCCTGCGCAGTGAACTGATTTCATAGCTGCACTTGGAGAAAGGTTGCCATAGGGAAGAAGTGCAGGAAAGCATTTTTGTTGTTGTTGCTGTTGTTTGTTATGCATTCTGTGTTTTGCAGTTAGATTTTGACCTACCCATCTTTAACAGGCTTCAAGTGTTGTTCAAGAAAAAAAAATTGCTATGGATTTTAGTGTTTGGTAATAACTACTTGGAATGCAGTACACTCGATATCTCAGAACTATTTTAGCTAGTTTCCTTCAATAAGCCTCAGAACTCAGATCAGTTCCTACGGTTTTTCCCCTCCCCCCTTTTCTTTATTGCATAGGCCTTTTGCATGAATAAGAAGCCAGATTTTTTTCTGGATAAAGTTAAATTTTTGCTGTTGCATATCCCTTTTTCTCAAGAGTTACTGTTCTGTTATTGATAATGCAATAAACTTTTGCTCACAGCAGTACGCATTGGTGGCAAAAAAGTCAAGAAATAATTTCACTCAAGTTCGTACAAACTAATCTCTTTACATGCATCTGTCTTTTGTAATGTAATCTGGAGGCTGGAAAATAAATAAAATATATGTGAATTACTCTGTTTTAAACATAACGGTTTTCAAATTTTTGAGATTAAAGATGTTCTAGCAAGAAGAACGAGGTGGATATCCTCGCTTTCTCTATCAAAATCTTCAAATGTGAACAAGTGAGGTGCACTCTTTGTCTTGTTACTTTGGTTTTTTGCAAATTGATTTTTTGTGTGGAGGCAGAATTTGCAAAATGAAATAAAAGTGTGGATAATAGTAACTCCTTCAGCATTCATTGTATTCTGCAACATCTTCTGGCACACTCTGTGCTAGTTTCCTATGATGGCTGAGTTAGAAGTAAGATACAGATTCTCCAGTAAACAATTTTGTCTTGACTTCTATTGCTCAAGTTTTAATAGTTTTATTAAACACAACACTCTCCTGCACGTGGAAAAGCTTTCTAAAACTGTTTTTATTTTGCAAGACTTGGCTTTTCATTGTCAAGCTTCCACAAGCATGGTTGGTTTTTTGATTTTATGTGTTTTCACACTAAATGTTTTATTTTTTATTTTGTTTTGTTTAGCCCTGAGGAGCATAATTTTCTCTTCCTTGTGGTTACTTTTAAGTGCCTAATATCTTCTTGGCTCATTTTTTTTCTCCTTTTTTCTGTCTTAAATCCTTATGAGCTCTTTGAGGGTACATGGTTTATTTATTGTACAATGTACTAACATATCTTTTATCACTTTTTTAATAATTGTATTTGATGATGACAAGAAAAAGAACAGCTTTATTTCATAAAAAAAATGGCTGTTATTACCTCTTAGTGTAGAAAGGCACAATGGTGATCCCAATAAAAAAGTACATCATCATGGAGCATGCAACCATTCCCAGTCCCAGGCACAGGGCTCTTGTCTCCCCTCTCTTCTGAGCAGTCACCAACTTCTTTCCCAACATGATCTAGAGTTGTGAAACTTGAACAACCTCTTTTTGGTATAAAATCAAATACAGAAAGGAGAGGGAAAACATGACAGTTATTGTGGTTGTGTAGCGAGTTTCTGAAATACAATATATTCCATGAAGGAAGAGTCTAATTTTTGCAAAACTATAAATAATAATAAAAAAAAGTTACTGTGTTTTTCATTAGACTCCTTTTCCACTTTTTTAATTTACCCTATAGACCTTTAACAAGTGTATATGTGTATAGGCTAAGAGCTGGGGTAGGAAAACCTTATAACTTTTGGGGAGAATTCTGTTAACAGTCCAATTCAGTCTATTTTATGTTGCTGTTTCTCTGAAGTAAGAGATGTTCTGTTGTGTATTGGTAAAGGCTGCATAAAGGGAAAATCTTCCCAGAATGGAATCCTTTTTACATGATGCCTTTTCTTCTGGAGTAGTCTGAAAGGTGATTGTCTTATTTCAAGAGAATGGAAATAATTTAAAATTTAGCATTTAAGATTTCCAGTTCAGACTTCTGCAAGTTTTTTGGCCTTGCCCATTCAGGGATACTCCAAACCTGGTGTTAGTGTAACACTAGGGAAACTCTTGGGCATTGCTGTCTGAACCCGAGCTTGTGAGTGACTAGCATTAGCCCCCCCCCCCCTCCTTTGATAAGGAGAATCTGAAAATAATTGCTGTGAATCTATGTCATTTAATCATGATGATATATAGGATTATTATATGAATGGGCCATAACTTTCAGTGTGAGCTCAACCTATCATCAGTATCTGCTTCACCGACAGCTGTGACTGCAGGTTTTTGGGGTTTGTTTTTTCATGAAAACATGGCACAAGCCATTGTTATGGTAGAGGACAAGACTGGCAAGATTTGTGTGGGCTTTTTTTGAGATAAGAGAGGAAAGAAGAGCAGAAGGAGAAAAGGAAAATATGTTACATACATGCTGAACAAGTTTTCAGTCCTGTTCTCCTGTGCAAGGCAATGGTGCACAGCTTCATGAAGTGCATTTTCAGGATTATAGTTTCAGGTATGTGTTTAGTGTTTATCCTTTCTGACTGGTCTTCAGGATGGTGTGGTTCCTGCCTAAATCCACCTGTGTTCAGACTTAAATTTAGGTATAGTGTAAGACAAGTACAAACCAAAGTTAGCAAATAGGCTCTTCAGGTTATCTGTGAGTAGGTGGTCTCCATCTGCCCCAGGCTGGCAGAGCTGTGCTGTTACTGCAGGTAGGGGACCACGCTGAATTTGGTGAACGATGAGATAGCTCTCAAAGCTGTGAGTTTCAGCTCTTAAAGGAAAGAATGGAAATATATTCTGAATGTTGCTTTCTTTCATGTTAGTTCTGGTTTTCACTGGTAAAAGTGCCTCACTTTGACTGTTTAATGATCAAAGGAAAAAAGTATTTGAACATTGACATGCTACTGTTTTTAGACTTCTATAACACCTGAATGTTTGTGCTATTAGCAATAAAAATAGACGTCTGTGGAAAGTAAAACAGCTTTGGTTGTTTCGCATAACTTGGGATTAGTTGCAAATTTTAAATACTTATTTTGAAGTTGCCAGTACATGATATCAAAGTGAAAGGCTGTTCTCAGGTGTCCCTAGAAACTAAAGGAGTTACTGTTAGAGTACAGAATTTTGTCCAGTTCCATATTTAATTCCACTTTAAATAAAACATCAACATCCACTGGGAGTTTTGCATACAGCATTTTGAGGGGAGTTTTTTTTTTCTTATGATTATGTATTGTATACATTGGCATTGTAAGAAGCATCTCAATTTGAAAACTGCCATAAGACGAATCTTCCCTGTTTACTGGCATTTGAGTTTAATGCAGAATGTGAGCTAAAGCCCTTAAGTAAGGCTGTATTGTGTTTTGCTTGGTCAATGGTGTTATAAATAGAATGTGTGGCATCAAATGGTGCCAGCATGCTCGTGCTGCACCTGCATATTCATGTAAAATTGGAAATAGCACTTATAAAACCCAAAGAATTCCAAAATATTTAGAATACTGGGCAACATGGCACATTAAGACACATTAAACTGACTTTCCTATTGTGCCGCTTGGTCAGAGGGGAAAGTGGAATAAGGGAACATCATTGGCCCTGGAGCACAGACCCCAAGACCATGTGGTAGCAGGTCCTTATAGCACAGTGGGAAGCTAAAGATAGATGAGTGAAAACATGTGTTGTTAGTAAGAAATTCTTACATACAGTAACAACGATTAATCTTTAATTTTCTGTGAGAAACTGAAAAAATGAAAGACTGATACTGCCACCGTGAGTTGTGGAAAACTTCTGGTGGCCTAGTGCTGTTAAATGAACTGAGTTTTAGATGAGCCATTATGTTTACTGAACTGACCCAGTTACACTGAGAAACAGCAAGGTAATCAACCCCCTTGTTACATGGAAAACAAGAACCATGGGACTATTAACCAAAGAATTAATAAGAAATGTAATTGCTCCAACAGTCTTGCTTGAATGTTGGTCACACACGCAGCAGAAGTACCACTAAACTCATGCTTCTAATAATCTAAAACTGCAAGTCTACCTCTTTAAGACACAAAAGGAACTCGTATCTGTAAATTGGAAATTTTTCTCAAGTGGCCAAGAGTTTTCCCAGCTTTAAGTGCAGTGCTGGTCCCTGTCCTGACACAAGCCAGACTGCCTGACCCTGGCTCTCTGCATGGGCTGCTGAGTGATCCTGTTTGCCTCTGCTCCCCCAGTTCAGATATTTGCTCTTCCCCAAAGTGAATAAGGACATTTAAATTATGCAGAGTGCGTTAACAAGAAAGGTTCATTAAAAATATCTCATTAAGTGCTTCTATGGATATGTAAACTAAGCAGCTAGGTCTTCAGGCTGTGTAAATGAGGGATGTCATTGTTCTATTGCTGAACCAGATTAGCTGTAAATGCGGTCCCTTAACTGAAATACGCATTTCCTGCTACATTTTTTTTCTGCTTTCCAATGTAGAAGATCAGAAAAAATCTGTAACGCTATTTCAAACATGAACAGAAAAATTAAAGAGGAAACACTAAACAGCAAAGGAAACCCACGTGGATTTTTTTCTTTTTTACATAAAAATTCCTACGTTCTTCTGCTGGAAATCCTTCATTTTCCAACTCTCAAGACAAAGCAATGCTGCATGCATATGGAAAAATGTATTTATTTGGAATTTCCTCATTGTTTAAAAGGTAATTCTTTCAGATTAAAAAATTTTCTCTGGCTCCTGGCTCTGTCTATGTATATTAGAACAAGCGTTGACAGAGCTGATTTAGTGTTTCCTCTGACAAAATCATTAAGTCTTTGAAAATGAAGCACTGCAGAAGACTTGATTGGCCCAGGAAGTCTGAGCAAATTTGAATTGGGAGATGTTGAAGCGTACAAGGTGGGCCTTCAATAGAAAATTTAAATGTGTTTTTGTACTGAAGATTTTGTGGACTGTCTCCCTGTTTATTAGGAATGTATAAGCTGCAAATGTTTTCATAATGTTCCCTCTGCCTAATCTTCAATCTACTTAAATTATACAGTACATTAGCTGTGCAATTTCAGTTATAATCACTGCATTGACAGCTGCTGGTGATAATATTAGGGATGCCATCTGGTCAGGTTTGGAATAGTCCCCTGTTTTGATTAGAGACATGTTTGATACTTGGCGGGAAGTCTGCCTCCTCCTCCTCCCTCATCTTTGAGCAGTTTCTAGTGGTGTGACCTCCATGAGTTTGGATGGGACCTCTCTCTTGAGCTATTATAGGATGCTCTTAACTTGGATAAAGTATTAGTAATAGTGATGAATTCATCTTGCTTGCAGGAGAAAGGCTGCTAAATCCTTCTCTTGAATTTAAGTTGGGAATAAATATTAAGTGAGCTGGTCTTTTTTTTTTTTTTAAGCTAGTGTATCTCACACTGTAAGGTGAATTTCCAGTGAGTATTTAAGTATTGCATCAAGTTCTAATACAGCATCATACCAAGAAGAGTGATGCAAGTCATCCACATCTCTAATGTGATGAGGACTTGTTAAACAGGCCAGGACTCTTTGGCCTCTACAGCCTCTACATACAAAACAGCCTCTACATACAAAACAGCCTCTACATACAGAACAGGAGAAAACAGCCTCTTGTTTTCTCCTGTCAAGTGCCAACTTAATAGTCACCTTGTTTTATTCTCAAAACACCTTATATGGACAACTTAAAAACTGCCAGCTTTGTTGGGTTTTTAAGAGGAGCATAGTTTTTGGTGACAGTTTATTGGCCAAGTGCATTGCGTGGGAACCAGAAGGCAAAATTTTTAGATCTGTAAGTATGAGCTCTGTACAGATTATGTTATTGGGACAGAGCTTGTGTTTACATATTTATTACTGTCTCTGAGTAGAGTTAGTTTGATCACTCACACTTGCCTACCTGTGTTTTTGTGAATATTTCAACATTGTTTAGATTCTTCCTTTCTGTTCCAATCCTACACTCATCCATTTCTCGTCGGCTGCTCCACCACTTACAAGAGGCTGCAGTCAAAACTGCATTTATGTTGTCACTTTCTTTCCCTCTCCCCACCCTCAGTCTCCTCCTCTAGCAGTTATAGGCATTTCTTACTGGTACCAGGGATGCTGGGGCCAGAGAACACCGGTTTTGTTCATTGTAAATTGATAAGAAACCATTACTTAATAAGTTTTCTGTATATCTGGGACCACAAATACTGTATGTTACAGAAAAAGGTGGTGCTGAACCTCGATGGAAAAGTGCACAGAAAAGAAGATTCTCTTGTAGTTGTCTTGGAAACCTGAAACAGCAATATTTTGACTGCTTAGCATGATACAACTATGTTTATTTTATGAAATATACTGTATCATTTTGCTTTGTTGCTGTACTGTTTACCTGATGTGCCACTAGAGTGAATTAAAGAAATTAGCTTTTTCTTCTCTTTAAAAACATATGCAGCTATTTAAGACTAATTCTTTTAGCTTTTAAATATGGTCGTTCTTAAAAAAATTAAAAATGGGAAAAGAAGAAGTTACTTGCTTAGTTCAGCAGTTTTGAAATCTTTCTGAAGTGCTTGTTTTTGATTCTGTGCTGTACAGGGCTGCACAGAAGAAATCAGTTTAAGAGTAGGTTTTAGGGAAGTCTAGAAGAGTTTTAGTGCCTTACTTAGGGGTTACTACGCACAACCTCTAAAGTAAGGCTCAACACCCAAAGCCCTGAAACTCCTAAGAGTAAAGGTGTATTTACCATTAAAATGAATAAAAGGTATGATCTTATATGAGCTCTATACTCTTAATTTTACTGTTACCTTTGCTAACAGTTATGAAGAATGATCAGTTACATCGAGTTACAAAACAGAGAACAACTTAGCTCACATGCTACAGGAAAATTATCTGTGCTGTCCTCCATAGTGCTGCAGATTTAGAAAGCCTGTTGCTTCTCAAAACACTGTACTTTTCAGAACCCAAAGCTATTGCATGCTCCCAAGGAGAAACAGTTGCTTAGAAATATACTCACAGTTTTTGATGAAATGCTGCTTTCACTGATGATAAAAAAAAAAAATCTTCTGTTACATGACAGACTTGAGATAGTAGTAGAGCTCAGAGCTGAAAGGGATTTTTATTATTTTTTTCCTTCCTGTACTTCTCTGGGTTTTCTTTGCTGTGGCTGAACTCCTAACTTAGTTCCCATATTACAAAGCCTTTTGTAACCATAAATGGTAAGGTATGAAAGAGCACTGTCCTTTTGGCGATTCATTGCGGAAACCAGGAAACCACAATATTGACTGACTTTTCTCATACCCTAGAGTCCCTTTACCACATACCCTGGTGGATTTGTGTTAAACTATGGCTCTACTCCTTTTGTACAGCTGTTTTAGTTTAGAAATCTGACAGATCTTTCGGGTAAGATTTAAGGAATTGAATGTATCAATGACCAGTGGTACTGATTCTTAATTCTTAATACCTAAGCTATTACCAGCTGTGTGTGAATGCTTTGTTGTCACTAGTTTCAGTGAGTTTGAATGCAACAGGTGCTAAAATTTTGACTGTACACCCTATACACAAGAACAAATCATCCATCACGTCATAAATGTTACACTGTGCAACATGTTCCTCTAACCAAAAAGCAAAACAAGTTTCTGGGATGTATAAATGGATAACTCCTGTAACAGAGCTTCAGAGAAGAGCTAAAATAAAATTATTTTGTAAATTTTTCTGTTTTGAGAAAGAAAAACTCTCTTATTGGGAGACTAAAGGAATTTAAATGAATTAGTCCAGTAGAATCACTAAGAGAGCACTTATAAACAAGGGTAGGACATCCTCCCCACCCCCCCCCCCCGGGCTTTAGGTATTTGATAATTAGCTCTTTTGGCTCAAGCTGCTCTTCTAACCTTGCTTTTGGTAAAAGATTTGAAGTTGACATGCTCAGAGTGCTCATGCTGTCTGAAGATAACCTATCAATCTCCTTCAGTAGGACCTTTTCTATTATTATTGATGCAATAATAACAAAGCTAACTTGGATTTAGATAGACCTTTACAGTTAAGTAAGAGGAAGCCTGCTACTATCATCTAGATTGGAAAGATTTATGATCATAGTAATTTTTTAATACTTGAGATGTGATGTAGTTAAATTTAAAGAATAAAGAATTTGAAGGTTGGAAAAAAGACTTATTTCCAGATAAAAGAGGATCAGGTTGAGTGGAATATTCTATTATTTTTTGATACTTAGAAATCAAGACTGGATATTTCAAAGATGGATATTTCAGGCTCTGCTGACTCAAGGAAAAGTCATGATTTTAATGAGGAATTTATTAAAAATGATTTTTGGGCTGTGTGATTCAGCAGTCAAGGTAGAAAACAAGGTAAGCCCTGCTGAACGAAATTCATGAATCTTCAAATTAACTGTCTTCTCTGCCTATTCTCCTTAACCCCAGTGGTTAATACTCACAGATCAATTTCTAACTCCTACACTAAGGAGTTCTACTGCAAAATTAACACAAAACTTGTGGATTCCAGAGCAAAAATATAGAAAAAAATTTTAAAAGTTTCCTCAGTGAAAGGAGGTGGTGGTAAGAGTGGTTGGGCTCAGTTTGAGGTGCACTGGTGGTTTGTTTGAATAGACAGAAGCTATGCTCCAAGTCTGGTGCTACACAACGCTTTTTGCTTGTTTTTTTCCTCTCACATACACTGCAGGTGTACAAGTCTAGGTGGTCGCTGGCTCTTGGAGAACTAACCCAATAAAATAATGTGGGTGTGCTAAAGGGAGATCCTGTATTGATGTCCACTTCTAACCTTGGGATAGTTCAGCGTGCCACTGACCTGTACCAATTGACATGTATGCATTGGAGCTCAATGGCAAGCCAGATGTTTGTTGTGCTATAAACTGTAATTCTGTAAGTCACAGTCTAAAATATCCTTTGTCTTCTTAAAATCACATGGAATATTTTCTTTTTTTGAACATGAGGGGTGGGAGGAGAAAGCGAACTATCTGATGCTTGAAATCACCATGGCTCTCAGAGGGACACTACTTCACTTTCTGATAAACTACAAAACTGGTGCTGCTCAGTTCCTCCTTGCCTTAGTGCTGACCCAGAGAGGGAGTGTGGGATCACTGCTGGAAAGGCTGAATACCTGAGAATGTTCTGTGAGTATTGGTAGCAGCACAAATTGAGACCACTAAGGGTCACCTGTAGCTAAAGGCAGTAACCCCTGGTGGTCTATGATCCTTTTGCAAATACTAGTTTTAGCCAAGATAAAAAATTTTTTGGGGAACTTCACAAGTTTTGCTTGAGGTGCTGTTTAACCAGGAGAAGAAAAAGAGAAGACATAATGTCAGAACAGGCATTTTTTGAACTTCAAATACCCTATTTTGAATCTGCACAAGTTTATTTTCAATGTCTTGTTTCCCACTTATTTTATTGCAAGGTATTAAACCCTTTGGCTAAGGCCAAAATAAATTTCATTTGAGGGATAATTTCCCATAATTCTTTAAAAAATGAACAATGCTTCAACTTGGAAGATATTGCTATGTCTGTAAGTTAGTGAAGTAGCTACGCTTAAAATTATCAGCCTACAGAACTGCAAGGATCTATTGGGCAAATTAAAGAGAATTAAGATAAATATTTTAGGGGAGTTAAATTCTCTGTAGAGTGCTAGTGGAAGAAAAATCATGTGAGAGAAGGTCTGTGGCTCTGAAAGAGACAATGTGTAAACATGAGCATACAAGGATAGTAGCTTTGTTTTGTAAATAAAAATATGAGGAAACTGTAAAGAGCAGTGGCAGGGAACAAGACTTTCTGGTGTTTACTCACTGTACTGCTCTGCAGTTGTCCTTTGGGCATCATCTATATTGCAGAATCCTTTGTTCCAGCCTCTTCTGCTCCTTACTACCAGTCATTGCAAGGGGGTGGTCATTCACAGGGTGCGTAACCTTTCCAAGGAATCCAGCTGACTTTACTGGAATTCTGAAGCTTCAAGGAGACTCAAGGGAGTCTGGTTTGACCCTACGTGCTACTGAACAGTTTATTCTTCTAATGTCACATGCATAAAACTTATTCAGTGTTTGCAGGTGACCTGTTTCACATTAGACTGCTCTGTGTAACGGGAATCTTGCTGGAAGTCCAAGTTGGATTAGATAAATAATATCTATACTCAAGCAGAAGTGACGTGAATTTGCAAACTCTGAACTCCTTTTGGACTCTGATGTAAAGAGCAGTTCAGGATTTAAAAGGGGGAAAGGAAATAAAAATAAAGAAGCAGTATCTTTTAGTTGCTCAGAACTGCTTATTCAGTTCTTCTAAGATGATCATCCACAAGGATTTTTTTCACCATTAGGGCATAAGAAAAACTCACTGGCTATGAGATAGAGCAAATGTAATAAGTATTGTCATTTTATTTCCAGGACTCTCTAATGCTTCTAAAGAATCAGTGAGCTGTGAAATGAGCACAGTTGTTTGGATCTTCAGAGAGCCCTGCAAAGTTATGAGCTCCCCATTCCTAATTTAAACATATTTATAGTGTAATACGTTGTCATTTTTAATGGGCTTCATAAAGAGAAGCTGTGGCTCTTGAACAAGGAACAGTCAAATATTGAAAATGGTGTGAATCAGGAGGATGAGGATGTACTTAATGTTGGCATATCTACATCAGGCACAGGCAAACTTTACAACCGACTGCTTCCTTCTAAGTAACTGAATTAAACTGTTTGCTGGATTTGCTTTTAACTCCCCAGTTTCATGAGGGCTGAGAGTGTCCAGTTTTCACACAGATACGTGAGCAGGGATTTTGAAATATTTGTTTAGCCTCCAACTTCACAGCGTGGTGGCTGTGTGCTTCTGATGATTCCCTGAGCAAAAGGTAGATGAGCTGTGATGGGCCTCCCTGAGGCATGTCATACCTGTATTAAAGCATAATGCTGTTATTTTTCTCTGACATTACTGAGAACTCTCTTACTACTGTATCTTGCAACTGCTTAACTGTTTGCTGCACCCAACGCCCTGTGGGTACACACAAACTGATTTCAGAGAAAAGGATTTTCAGTCAGAGAGTAAATGCTTATTCTCTTTCTCAGTTTGGGTCTTGTATGTGTAATCAGTTCTCAATAATATTATTCCATCTAGAGAAGCCCTAAATAGGGGGAAAAAAAAAATTAACCACTGCCACAAAAGGACCCCAAAGAATAAAAAAATCCTAAAAAGCCATAAAACCAAACAAACTCACACCCCAGTTGTGGATTTAAAAGTTTTTTATAAAGGGAGGTCTTTATTCTTGCTTTATTAGATGGGCACAAGGCAATGTTTGGGGAATTTCTGCCCTGTGCTCTTTTCAGTTTGTAGTCAGATGCACAGAGGAGGCATGGGGGCTGCTCTGGCCTCAGCCACCTTACTCCTTTTGTGCTATCTTACTGTTACATACTGAGCTGTACTGACTCTAGCAAGCAAACCTGAATAACAAACTTTCAGCATAGTCAGAAATTGGTGTTGTCTGATTTTGTTTGTGCCTCAGGCATGTAATACCTATCATGTTACACTTGATGCTGATGGGAGTTTTATGCAAAGGCTGAATAGTATCTGATTTCAGGTAAACCAAAGCTGCTAGGAAAGCAGTCTCGCGTTCAGGTTAACTATAGCATGAAGAAAATATAAGGCATTTCCTGAATTTGTGAACTTATTGCAGTGACTCTGATACAATTAAGTATGAAATATAACATACGAGTATCACATGGTCATGCTGCGAGACATAAGCACATGCTTATCCAAGATAGGATGGAGGGCTGACTCTGGTAGTGTTGTTGCTAATGGTCTCAGTTTTCTTCTGGGGAGTTTGTTTCTGCAGTGAAATAGGTAATTTTCACTGTCTTGAACTTTGTTCAGTATTTGTATTGTACCTGAGAGAAGGGGTTTCCCCTCCTCATCTATAGAATGGGAACAGTATTTCCTTCCTTACTATCTTAAGGCAAAATAAGTTAATGAAATGTAATTTTGTAATGGCAGGCACTCGGTACAAAAGCTGAGTATAACTTGGTATGTAATCTGGACAATGAAAAGAAAATTGTTTTTGACTTTTTTCCCCCTGATTGAATAGTTTGCCAAGCTGACAAAATGCAGGCAGAAAAGAGGAGAAATAAAAAGAAGCTTTAAAAAAAATAAGATATGTAGACACAATCTGTGATGTTAAAT